ATTGCATCAAATTTAAACCAGGTGCCAACACATTATGGTCATGTGATTATGTGCCAAAAAGCAGTTTACTGGTTTTAAGCTACAAAAGTGGAATATTGTGGACGTTAATAAATTCACAACTTTAAAAAAAAAAAAAGAAAAGAAAAAAAAGCTCTTTATGATTGTCTTTGTGTACATGTCTCATTAAAATTCATAAATATAAGATAAAATAAATGTTTTAGTTATTCTAATTAACCGATAATTGATAGAGATTCCTAAATCTGGTTTCAATGGGTAACACTTTACAGTAAGGTTCCATTAGTTAATGTATTAACTAACATGAACGAACAATGAACAATACATTTACTACATTATTTATGAATCTTTCATATTGTTAATGATAATACAGTTGTTCACTGTTAAAGCGGCACTATGTAACGTTGTCCGTGTTCAAAATTTGCTAAATGTATATAATGAGCGAGCACATCATGAATTCATCTTCCAAACCGCGTTTTTGTCTTATTCCGAATCACTACGGTACACTTATAATAAGTACTTATATTTGGACTATTGTAGCCTGGTCGGGTCGCCGCCGCTGCGGAGTAACACATACCTGCGTGAATCGCCATAGACATAAACTAAAGGCGGGCGTACATGGTGCGATTTTTGCTGTCGTACGAGCTCGCAGGCGATTTTTTTTCCTCTCGGGAGAAAATCGCAGATGCTCGCATGGTCTGCGGCTCGTACCGTGTGAGAAGAATTACGGGCCGATCCGAGACGTTACGAGCACCTCCCGTTCTCCCGATAATTTTCAAACATGTCAAAAAAAATCGGATGCTGTCGGTTTACATTCGTGGCGTATGTGCGGTTGAACGAGGCGATTTGGCGATCCATCTGAAGTTGACCAATCAGAAGATGACAAAAACCATATAGTCTATAATAATTTGTTTAATTATACAGTTCTATTTTTTATTTGTTATTCCGAATGTGCCAAATTTGCCGTTCAGCTTTATGAATGAATATGCCTGTTGTATTTCCGGCAAAACGAGCAGAAATTCAGAAATGGCCTACTCCCTCGAGTTCTTTATGAAGAACATAAAGTCCATGCTTTTCAGCCATTCTCTTTGCCATGTCCTTTGGCTTCATTTATTTTTTTTTATTTGGACGTCACAAGCCGCCTGCCACGAAGAAAACTATTTCGTTCTCAGAATCCATATTTTTATGAATGGCGTGAAACATAATGCTTACGTCAAGAGTTTATAAAATCGTAGTAAATTCGTGTCGTGTGTGACTGCCTCTGTACGATTTTTGGATTAACTCAATCGTGACATGTGCCAGAGCTCACGACGTTCCGACCTTCAGAATCGCACCGTGTACGCCCACCTTTAGAGAAGTAGCTCCGGTTGGAATGTTCTTCCGCGTGATGTGTGCAGTTCTGTTTATTAACCGCTAGAGCGCCAAAAGTTACATAGTGCTGCTTTAATTCAGAGTGCATTAACTGTTAACAAGCACAACTGTTGATTTTAATAATGCATTAGTAAATGTTGAAATGAACAAAGATTAATAAATGCTTAAGAACTATTGTTCATTCTTAGTTCATGTTAACTAAAGTAGTTAACTAATGAACCTTATTGTAAAGTGTTACCTTTCGATGTAATGTATAAATGGTAATAACGCATAAAACACAACCATAATTACTAGACAATGTAAAAGATATTGCTTATTTTTAATGCATTGATCAATAGATATCAGAGGAACAAAACACAAATTATATATATATATTAATATCACAAATTACCAGATAAGTCTTAAAACTAGTAGTAGCCAAAATCATTTGAGGCTGCTGGAATTTTGCATAGTTCTGTTGTTAACTATAAATATAACCCCCCCCCCCCCATAAGGCGGATAGCCATAAGGCTATCATGCCAAGTCAAATGCATTAGTGCAGGCCTTGCATTAGCAAATAATTTGCTTGTCTGATGTAAACATTACATCTCCTGCAGAAAGGAAATTGAAATGTTTTAAGAAACTCAATTTCAATTATTATAGAGATGGTTTATGTTTTTCAGCCCCGTTTTTGCCCTAACAGTGTCAAATTTAATCTGCTGCAATCTGTAATTTTCCAAATGCCTGGAATTAGCTTGGAATGATTCGGAAAACAAATGGCTAGACAGACAGTACAATTACTGTTGCACATCCATTAACATCCTGCCAGATGGTATTTTTTCCCATCCATCTGTTATGTCCGGGGTCTGCAACCTATTTTGACCCATTGCAACCATGTTTAGTTTTTGTGTTCCACACAAGAAGTCGTGGAGTCAACTCCACCTCATTCAGGCTCAAGTTCAAATCATCTCCAGATCAGCAAATGGGGTTTATCTTCGTCATGGGTAACTTCTGCCTACCTATGCAGTGGAACTTGTCATTCAGATCACACCTTATCAATATTATAATAAACTGAAATTTAAAGGGGTCCTATTATGCTATTTCACTTTTTTAATTTTAGTCCGTGTGTAGTGTGTATGTTTGGGCATAACAAATATCTATAAAGTTACAAATCTCAAAGTCCACTCCAAAGGGAGATATTTCGTTTTTAAAAAATCCCTTTTCAAGAACTACAACGAACGGCTCGTTTGGACTACAGCGTTTGTTTTCCGGGCTTTGTGATATCACAAAGCGGCCGATTAGAATATCATTAAAATGATTCCCGCCTACAGAAATTCTGGGGAGGGTCGAGGTTGTGGTTAGAACGCTTGGTTGAGTGAGCGCATCAGACGAGACGATGAAGAAGAAGAGCTGCTGCAGAGTTAGTGCAGCAGAGAAAACCAAGAAGAAGAGCTGCTGTGCTGTAGCGTAAAATTTTCGGCATGTCTAGAACAATTCTTACAAGTACAACATGACGTAGCTG